CTTTAACGGGTCTTATAAGGAGATAATTTACAATTTTTACGTCAGAGAAAATATCAATTTTGTCAAGTTTTAGATTACCAATTTGGTCACCATGTTCATTAAAGATAGTGATGCCTTTGTTAAAGTCCAGCAAACGTGTATTCATAGGGCTAACAATTCCTTCGACTTAGATTCTTTGAAAGTAAGGAGATAACGTTGGATATGTACATATATGAAAACGATGAACTGCCGATGCAACAGTAAAGACAGATCAAAATCTGTCGTACACAATTGCAAAATCTATTGTATTCCGGTACCGCAGCGAAATATACTGAACACAATAGCAAAAAAAAACAATTGCTTTGAAATGTAATTGGGAACACAGGTACTTTTGTATCTGTCGTGATGATAGCTGCATATACTACCAGGGAGTGCTACTGTTGCCCCGCTTTCACCGGAATTGTTTACAAATAGTATAAGGTCCTTACATGACGGTTTAAAGGGCATATGCACAACAGTAACAAGGTAATGAAGTAACATGCAGAGAGCATTGCAGTCGCCTTATACAAGGCATCAGATTTATTGTCGCCTTTCCGACTGCATGGAAGTTGAATATCACACATCCTGCACAACCAAGCAGAACTAGGGCAAGTCCGAAATTAGATGAAAAGGAAATTACAAATGTAGTGATTTCAAAAAACAATTGTATGATTTAAGTTTATGTCGAATTATATTTTTGCATACGAACTTCATCATCAATTTGTTGAAACTCCGAAATTCGAATTGGATATTTTTTTTCTCGAAAAGGATTATTAAACATACATGTATCTAAAGAAATTTATCCTGCTGAACTGACTTTAAACAAAGCTAATACTAACAATGGACAACAATTGACACTGCCCTTTCCTGGATCTTGATATCTATATCTTTAACGGGAAGCTAAATACCAAAATTTATGATAAAAAAGATGATTTTTCATTTCCTATTGTTAATTATCCATTGTTAGATGGTGACGTTCCCATGTCACCATCGTATGGTGTTAATATATCTCAACTTGTACTATTCGCTCGTGTATGTAACAACGTATTTGATTTTAACGAAAAAAATCTCTGTATTACTGAACAATTATTACACCAGGGTTTTCGATATCACAAACTAGTCAAAACATTTACTAGATTTTATCATCGGTACAAGGTCATCATTTGTAAATATACATCAACATGCAGACATCTTATACGTTCAGGTATTTCACATCCAATTTTTATGGTAATATTCTATACAAAGCACAAAAATGTCGGCATTCACCTCAAAAGCTAACCAAACCTTTAAACAGACTTATTCAGAAAGGATATAGTTACGATACGGTTGTCAAGTCATTAAAGATGGCATATTTTGGTATTATTATTGATTCACTCATAGGGTCTTTGCATCGGAAATAAACCCAATTATTCTAAAACCAGTCGTTGGCATGATACGGGTTATGTTCTTCTCATATATTTTATGATGGTATGATACTAAACCCCTAACCGGAGGGATTGTGCTTGATTTTTATATGATGGAAAAACATTTTCTTTCAATCAGTTTAATTGAGGTCTGGAGTTGGCATGTCAGTAACTGCTAGTAGTCCTTTGTTAATTGATGTATCATTGTCATTTTTCTTAGTTTCTTTTGTTACCTCTGACATCGGACTCGGACTTCTTTTGAATTGAATTTTACTGTGCGTATTGCTGTGTGTTTGTTTATTCTACATTAGCTAGAGGTATAGGGGAGGGTTGAGATCTCGCAAAACATGTTTAACCCCTCTGCATTTTCGCGCCTGTCCCAAGTCAGGAGCCTCTGGCCTTTGTTAGTCTTGTATGTTTTTTTAATTTTAGTTCATTTATATGTTTTGGAGTTTAGTGTGACGTTCATTTTCACTGAACTAGTACACATTTTTGTTTAGAGGCTAACTGAAGCCCGCCTCCGGGTGCGGGATTTTCTCCTGTGTTGAATACCCATTGGTGGCCTTCTGCTGTTTTCTGCTCTTTGGTCTGGTTGTTGTCTCTTTGACACATTCCCCATTTCCATTCTCAATTTTATGTAGTGGTTTTGTGACATTAGTTGTAATCTAAATAGAAAATACTTTTTTTATATTTTCATATTGAGTTTGGCTTTTTTCCCTTCCATCGTGTCAGTATACACTATATGTGTATTTCCATACACATATGTAGCTAATGCGCCCACATGTGGAGTATGACTTGTCTTCCTTTCCAGGTCTCATAAGATTCACTCCGGTTTCTGATGGGGTTCGTCTTGTTCAGTGTTTAGTTTAATATGTAGTGTTTTGTAGACCGGTGTTTATCTTTTAATCATGTTTGGTATTTTGCCATGATTCTATCGGTCTCCAATTAACCTATGAGTTTTGATTCTCTCTTTTATATCGTTCGCCTCTTTTTTTAAAGTCAGGATATATATAGTATTCAAAAACAAAAACATTCTGTAAAATTCATCTTTGAACAATGTGCGTAATTCATCTATGCATGCAAGGATCATATTTGGTAGACATAAACTATTTTATTCTAGATTAGGCAAATCTCTGGTTTCTTTTATCATTATGTTTTGTATTGAATCGTGTAATCGTCCTATCGAATACAGTAAAAATTCTTCAGACATCTTTGACGCAGTTTAGTTGACTGTAGTACATTTATGTTTTAAACGTTCATGTTTACATGTCATCAAATTGCACTACAATTCGCATTCTACGCTCAAATAACAATCCGTCACAACTGCTGTATAATGACTATTACAATACACACAAACCGTTTTCATGTCCAGAAAAGACATTAAGAGTACATTCAATCACATTCAATTAAAAATTGCATGCAACAGATGGTGCTATTGTTGATAGATTGCTATGAACTTTACTTTTTATTGGTGACATAAACGGATTTTCAACACGCTAGGGATAACAACAGACTACGCCATATGTTTTTATTGTTGACATAAGCGGACTGTCAATACACTGAGGACTGCAGTAGACAAAGCTATCTGTTACTTCTATTTACATTTTGCTCTGACTAGACAAGATTCTATCTAGTATCATGTTGCGATTATTGAATTACACAAATATGATTAAATGTTGGTTATCGCCAATTAAAGGACAAAGATAGCTGTGTTTTATTGAATATTATGCCCGGCGTTTTTAATTTGACTAATTATCAATTCTATTCATTACTTTCTTTAGTTGTTATGTTGTATTTTGTAAATTATCGTAAAATTACGAAGGACACACACATAAAATGCGAGGGGATGGGGAAGCAGACTTATAACAGGAGCACATGAACTAACTTTCGATCATAAAAGGTGTTTATAACACTGTAGCTTATGCAAAAATTGTTTAAGGTTTTTTTTTTGTTGAGACAATTTATCGAAATACTTCTGTCGATTATGTATACCTACGTAAATAAAACGAAACGATCACGTCGAAATCATGTCAGTACTAAAAACACTGATTACTTGTCTAGTTTGATGGAACCAAAGGAACCAAGTTTAGCAGTAGTGGCACTGACCGTAGTTGTAATATAAAATCTCATAACACATAAAAACACCAGTCTTATAATGTGCTGCACCAGGTGCATAATTGCATTGTAGAGATTCAAGTGCACATGGTAAAGTTTCAGGAGTAAAAGTTTTGTTTTCACCAAATACAAAAAGCATTTAAACCAACGGTAATCTGAACAGATCAGATAAAGTTAAGTAATGGTTAACACAATTTTACCTGAGATTATTTGAACAGTTTCAAAGACGTATAAATTTGTCTGTTCGGTACGGTGTCCAGTTTTCTCTAACATTCTTTCAGTTTATCTTTCCGTTATTTCTTTATTTGTACATTTTTGGTGTTTTCTTCTTCTTTTTTTTGGGGGGGGGAAAGGGGGGAGGGGGGGTATTTCCAAATACGTTCTGATACAGGACCTTTGACGTCATCATTCCTTTGCGATTTTGTTCTTTATGTTTTTGGTTTGATCATACTTCGTCAGTACAATTGACACAAATTAAACTACTGCTTTTGTACTTTTTATGCTTGTACATGATTTTTATAAATATTTCACTGCGTTTGGAAAACCATTGAAAGGGCATCTTCTGTTTAGAGGTAAACAAAAATAAATTACTTTTTTACATATCGTTCTCGCGACAAAATTGTACTATACTTTCTTGTCAGTAATTTATTGACATATCTAGAGTTTGTTCAAAAGAAGATTTGTAAAATAAATTCAACGATCTCACAACCAGAAAGAGTGACGAGAAAAGAAACTATAACCTGTGTTTTGTGACTTATGTTCTTTGGTATATTCAAATGCAGTGGTACAAAAGTGTTCAAGTTACTTTTTCTATGTTTTGGTTAATTGTTTTTTTTTTTTTTGTTTTTTTTTTTTGCTTTGTATGGATCAGATGAGTAAATCCTTTTTCAACTGATGTTTTACAGTTTGTTCATATGCTGTACTGTTACACCACTGTACCAGGTTAATGGGAGGGTTGGGCGCTCGCTAACATGTTTAACCCCGCCACATTCTGTATGTGCCTGTCCCAAGTCAGGGTCCTGTAATTCAGTGGCTGTCGTTTGTTACTGTATATCATATTTGTATTTCGTTCATTGTTTTCTCATAAATTAGGCCGTTAGTTTTCTCGTTTGAATTGTTTTACACTTGTCATTTCGGGGCCTTCTATCGCTGACTATGCGGTATGGGTTTTGCTCATTGTTGAAGGCCGTATGGTGACCTATAGTTGTATTAACTTCTATGACATGTGTTCTCTGGTGGAGATTTGTTGCATTGGTAATTATACCACATTTTCTTCTTTTATATATAATGATTTCCTGAATTGAAAATAAAACTGATTTCAGACTTTGATAAGATTACAGAGAGATACTTTAGCATTTTATAATGATTTCTAGATTTTAGACCGTGATAAGTTGACAAAAGATGTGTTTTGAGCATACTGTTATGATTTTCTTAATTTAAGAGAACTATTTTTATTTATTTCAGACAGACCGTGATAAGGAAACAACAAGTGAAGATTTCAATTTTCTGGAACAGGTACCAGTCAGCAAAATGCAACGACAGCAACCCGCCAAATTTATTATACTTCATTATTCACCATTCAAAGCTGTTTGGGATTGGATCGTATTGATATTAGTCCTGTACACTGCAGTATTTACTCCTTATGTTGTCGCATTCTTGTTAAACGAAGATGAGACTCGGATGAGACTAAATCGGAACTCTTGGACTCGTTCCCAAAGTGACGAAAATACGAAAGCCGATCCATTAGTGCTAATTGATTTGATAGTAGATCTAATGTTTATAGCTGATATTGTGATAAATTTTAGAACGACTTATTTACATAATGGTGAAGTTGTGATAGATGCTAAGAAAATAGCTAAAAATTATGTTAAAGGATGGTTTGTGATAGACACCATAGCAGCCATTCCATTTGATCTTTTGTTGTTTGGTTCTGGAAATAGTCAGGTAAATATTAACCCTCGAAAACAGATCGATTTCGTATGAAAAGGTATTCGAATATATGAAAATAAGGAGATGAGGCATGCTTGCCAATGAGACATATATCCACAAAAGTTCATATAAAGTGGATGTAAGCAATTATAGGCAACCGTACGACCTTCAACGATGAGAAAAACTCATACCGTATAGTCGGTTATAAAAGGCCCCAACTTGAAAAATATGAAACAATTCAATTGAGAAAACTATACGCATATAGTTAATATGTTTGTTTGTATTTTTGTCGCTTTCGCGTCAAATGTTCAAAACCTACAAGCCAGAAAGTAAGTAAAACATACAGAGTTTGTAGTGTGACCTATAGTTGCTAACCTTCTACGACATTTTGTCTCTGGTGGAGAGTTGTCTCATTGGCAATCATACCATATCTTCTTATTTTCATATTTAAAAAAAAATCTCATTTTTAATTTTTAGAATACACATGGCATTCATTGTGATGAAATAGAAAAGAAAAACTATGGGGTATCCATCCATGACACAAAATTAGTACATGTACAGGAAAAAACACAGAAAGCAAAGGAACGGCGCTTTTTTTTTTGTTGTTCTTCATCTCAAAGTCACAGCGAGGCTTTCAACACGGCCATTTTTAATATTAAAGTAATTCGTGTTCAATTGAGTTGTTACGCCAACATCAAATCAGTATATAATGTTTTACTTTGAATCATGTAACAATTTGAGACATACTTATAATCAAATTCAAATGTACCTTTAAAATTATTCTAAAGATTAAATTAAATAGTTTTTATGTTCGTTTGTACCCGACCACGATTATCTAACAACTATAGTGAACACAAGTTTGGAGTATTATTGGAATAAACAACATTATGACATTAAGGTAGCTGAGGTATCTAAATGTTCAACGATAGATTTTTCTTAAACTTCTGTAAAAGCCTTCTGGGTTTACATTCTTTCAAATTTCAATATGAAAACTGGTGGTCACGGACCTTGTTTTTTTCGTTGAAATACATTGAAATTAACGAATTATAACAGTTATTTTATACGGTTTATATAGGGGAAACTTATTTTTTTCTTAATTGAAGAAACATAAAACGATAGAATTGGTTAAAATTCAATGAGAGAATTGCTTTTCATAAATTCTTCCGAAATATCAAATTAAAATAAGGGTCACTGGCCTTATTTTCTTGAAAAATAAGAAAAAAAACAAAGTGTCCTACCAAAGTCAATATACTTATCTGCCCTTGATTTAAAAGGATTTTTTTCTGAAAATTTCAATACACTTAATGAATTTAATTTTTTGATAGTTTATTTTTTAATTTCAAGTTTTAGATGTTTCTGTTGTATAATGAATGATACTCGGTAAAATATTTTTAAAACCAAAAAAGTTTTTTTGCAAAATACCCTAAAGGCAGGCTCAGAAAAACACACCCGTTCTACTTTGATTAACACAATCCAAACAATTATATATCATTTAGGAGATACATGGTGATATGTTTGGTTTTGTCGACGAGTTTTCTTTCTGTACGATTTGTTCAAATGGAAAAATAGATAAAATTATATGGGTTTATTATTAGTTAAAATAATATTATTTTTTTTTTGTAAAGCGTTATTTTAATTAATTATGTGCCGTAAGGGGACCGATTTGTTTATAAGGAATAAGAATGAATGATCTTTATTCTCATAAACCATATACATAGTTACAGTGAAGATAATATTACCATACTAACAAATAATAAATATAAATGCCGTAAGGGGACCGATTTGTTAATAAGAAATAAATATACGTAACGTAATGTTTTGTTTTCGAATCATGATCGATGACAAAGTAGTTAACGATTTTAACCTTCCTACCACCTAACAAAGCACAAGACAAAGACAAAAAAGACCCCCCCCCCCAAAAAAAAAAAAAAAAAAAAAAAAGAAAAAAAAGATTATAACTTGAAAGCATCCAATCCAAACAATCAAATTTTTATAAATATGCACAGTTTTATATTTTTTAACAATGCTTTCAAATTTATTTATTTCAGACAATGACAATAGCGGGATTTTTAAAACTTGCTAGACTTCTACGTCTCCTCCGTGTACTGCGCAGAATCGAACAATTTGCCGAATATGGAGCTGCCGTTTTGATGTTACTGATGGTGTCCTTCACCCTTATAGCACATTGGTTAGCCTGTATTTTCTATGCAATTGCGTACTTCGAACGTCCAACTCTTGTTGCTGAGATCAGTTGGTTGGATGTCTTGGCAAAACAATGTAAAAGGCCGTACATGGCTAATGATACACTAAGTGGGCCTACTATCAGGTCAAAATATATCACCGCTTTGTATTTTACTTTTACGACATTGACAAGTATTGGATTTGGCAACATTGCTCCCGTTACTAACGCAGAGAAAATATTTGCTATTTTTGCAATGTTACTTGGTTGTAAGTATGATTAATTAAAACAAACTTAATTTTATTTATTAATCCGACAACACTTGTTTGTAAATGGAACTGTTAAAGTTGGATGTAGAAATCTTTAGTATGGTCTCACATAGTCAGAATCGTGCGGAACAACAACTATAATAAATCTTTTAAAAGCAATCCAATCAAAAGACCTAAATGAGAGGCAAAAAATACTAAAGGACTATTCAAACTTATAAGTTGAAAACATATTGACAATGTCATGGCAAAAAAACGAAAAACGATCAAAGGACTTATAACTGTATACAAAACTAAAGACTGAGAAACACGAACCCCACAAAAAATAGGGTGATCTCAGTTGCTTCAGAAATATGTAACCATAAACTGCTCCAAATGTGGCACCTTTCGTGTTGCTGACGTAAGTACAAACCCGGTCATTTGGTCTAATTTGGTTTGTCAATTCGGGGGAAAGAGGACTGGATTGTGGTAACGACAATTGGAACATATCCGTCTTCATTCTGTGAAACAGATATTCCAAAACGGTCAACCAACTCGTGATGGCGTCCGTAAAATTTTCGAGGGAATGATTTCAACTTCACCACTTGTAACTTGTGTTTTAATAGCCTCCTTGTAAGCAGCAACCCACTATCAACGAAAAAATTTAGGATAGGAAATGCAAGCTCTAGCATATCGTATCAACTTGGAGATGTCATTCTCCATATGCAGGCTCTGCTAAACTATTATTAAAATGTCAAATCTTACCCTGTCCTTTAAATCACTTTGAATGATCACCACAGCCGTCTTAGTCGTCTTCTTTAGCATGTGTTTTACAAGATATGATGATACGCTTTTTTACTGTCTGAATAGCCATGCAGACAAGGATCACAAGACCGAAAAACATTTATTAATTGATAACGGTCAACAGAAACACGCACGATAGGCGAAAAGTAAGGCAATATAAAAATCAGATAATGAACTTGAAAATTCTATTCAGATTGTCGGTCAATTTATGATAGTTTTTGTGTTAATTCTTTGCCAGATATAATGAAAATGTGTTGATTTACCCGTTAGCTGTGTTCTGAAATACAAAGTTGAAGCTTGATCGACATCTAGAAAAGGCTTATTTTAAAACCGGTCATTAAGGCCGTCCTGAAATTTCAGTGAGGGGAGAGTTTTTAATTGATGTCGAAGACCTTACTGTGATTTTGAGATGAAGAACATTAGTTATAATAGGCTTTTGCTTTGCTTTTTTGATATGCGTTTAGGAATTTTGTGTCATGAATTGATATGCCATATCCTTTTTTCCATTGTATTTATTAGTTGACCAAGGCTCTTAAACTAGCTTTCAGTAACTGTGAGTACTCATCGGTACTGTATCTCGTTTGTCTTTCTGTTTAAAGATAAGGATAAGTGGTATGATTGCCAATGAGACAACTATACACCAAAGTTACATATTTTCGTGTTTAGTACCGATCTAATGAGATTAAAGCCCTCTACAGTGTGTTCTTATGTTCCAAGTTAGGAGAAAGTTTAGCACTCCATGTTGAACGCAACCACTTTTTTGTGTGTCTGTAACAATCCAGTAGTCTGAAATCTAGTGGGATTTTTTTTTGTTTGTTGAAATTTGCCATATTTGCTTTTCGCTAATAGTTTTAGCATAAATCAGGCCGTTGAATTTTTATTTTTAATTGTTCACATTTTGTCTCCTTATTTTATATCAATATGGTTTTATCAAACCTGTTTTAAAATGTATATGAAAAGTAAGCAAAAGATGCCTACGTAAACATGGTAATTAACAAAAAATATCTGAAACTACAGTAAATTGTATCCTACTAGTAACGATTTTCAACTAACACATCTACTAGCGACAAACAACAAAGAACAACAAAGTTAAACTGACTTCGTAAAGACACACACTACTTTATAAAATCGAGAATGGAAACGGGGAATGTGTCAAAGAGACAACAATCCGACCAAAGAGCAGAAAACAGTTAAGTTTTTTCATGTAGTCCAAATTTATGATATCTATCCTGCTGCGACTTTTTGGTACATGAAATGGAAACCCAACTTAATTCAGAAAACATTGTTTGGTTTTATTGGGTTATATTTGTTGACATCATTGCTTTGACCCTAATGATATTACGACATTGCGTAAAAATTAAATAAACAAAAATGTACTTTTTTATCGTTTAGGACACTTCACAAAATACGCACTAATTGTATATCTCCTTATAGCAAAACATTAAACTGTTTACATGTAATAAAGAAATGTATTAAATAGCACTATTGACCACAAGAATGTTTACCACTACAACGATGACAAGCGTTTCCTATATTATTGATCGAATAACAATTACCCTTTGAAGACGTTTTCGCACTTCAAAATATCCGGTTCATTCGCATTTTCTTATTTGATATCTCACTTAAGTTTTTACGCCTTTCTAATTCATGACATTTTCGACAAGTAAAATACAAAGTTATTGAAAGATTTGACGAACAACCGTATTGTATTTCTGAATTCAATACAAATAGTATGTTTTTATACGTCCGAGAATTGTAATTATATTGCGAGTTCCAATGTCTCACATCTAACAATTAATTAAAGGATATAAACATGCTAAACTTTGTTGTGAGTATGTCTAGCCTGTAAAGATTCGTTTCCAATATCAGTGAAAGGAGTAATTACTGTCAGTTTTATTAGAACACGTCTGATCGTTACTCTAAATTATGATGTCGATTTTTAAAATTACAGGCATTTTTGCACCTGTCCCAAGTCAGGAGCCTCTAGCCTTTGTTAGACTTGTATTATTTTTAATTTTAGTTTCTTGTGTACAATTTGGAGTTTAGTATGGCGTTCATTATCACTCAACTAGTATATATTTTTGTTTAGGGGCCAGCTGAAGGACGCTTCCGGGTGCGGGAATTTCTCGCTGCATTGAAGACCTGTTGGTGACCTTCTGCTGACACATTCCCCATTTCCATTCTCAATTTTAAGTAGTGGTATAAACGAATAGTTTTTTGGTAATCCACAGTAAGGTCAATAAAAAGTATAAACAGATCGACAACTACCTCAATTTATTTTACACTTTGGACCGTCCCGAGGGTCTCGTGGTAGTATGTCCGCCTCAAGTGCGGGAGATAGTTGGTACGAAACCCGGCCGGGTCAAACCAAAGACTTTAGAATTGGTATTTGCTGCTTCTCCGCTAAGCACGCGGCATTTAGGAGTTAGAGCAAAGACTAGTCGGCTCGCAGTCAAAATGATGTGACCAAGTAAGGTGACATGTCTTCCTGCGGACTAATACCTTGTGAACTAGCACGTTAGAATCCGTCTCCGCGTGTCGTTCTAGTACAAAGCAGAGTTTACTTTCATATCACATTATCATGTGCATCACAAGGACAATAAGAAGATTTTCTCTCAACAGAATTTTGGATTCGGTTAAGAATGTACTTCTCATTAATTAGTGAACGAAATACTCAAAAAAATGGTAAAATGTGTCAAATTTGAGGTTTTTGGCTATCTTCAGCCATTTTAGACATGGTCATCTATATTTAGAACTTTTAAGTAATCAATCATATGCCTTTTATGAAATTGTTATACTGTGAATGTACGATAACATTGGACAACTCTTGAATTGACAATGGTCCTTGAATGAAATAAATGCAAAGGGAATTGGCCTTACCTGTTTGAATAGTTATATAATAATTTGCAACAGTAAATAAGAGACTAACGTGTAGTAATTACTGTACATTTACTTGTTTCAGCATTACTGAGCGCTGCTATATTCGGTAACGTTTCCTCCATTATGTTACGGGTATACCAGGGATCTGATGAGTTCCATGAGAAAGTCCAGAGTATCAAAGAATTCATTGGCTTTCATCATCTACCTAAAAACCTAGCCACCCGGTTACAAGAATCCTTCCAACATACATGGTCTTACACAAACGGAATAGATATGAACAATGTAAGTACAACACACGTGGTCTTGCACAAATAGAATAGATAAGAACAACGTAGGTACTTACCAGAAGATTTGAATTACCCTTAATGATGATCTGGAAAGGGGTGGGGGCTTCATTTCTGTATTCTTTAAAATTTAAGCTCAGGTTATTTTGGCTTATTTTTCTAAAGTTCTGACTTTTCTGCAGAAATGGCCCATTGTTCTATGTAAACCCCATCCAGATCCTCTCTTCTTAAAGTCGTTAATTACATACCTATCTGAAACCATCAGTTATCACTTGACGAACCTGTCAAAAATTTTTGGACTGGCTGATGCCATGATTCAAAGGTTAAAGCCAAATGACAAAATAAACCATTGGCTTTAGACTAAGAATTTCTGTAGGAAATATGGGTATGAATATACCAAGAGGTATCTTTGTTCACGATTCTTTCATCATCCGATAGTTTTTTTTTTTCTTTTGGCTGAAGCTTTGTGTACCAAGTCCGTTACTAGATCACTATATGATCCATTGGTAATCAGAGAAATATATGGATTAAGGATTTTTGTAAGACAGATTGATAGTTTTTCTAAATGTTTGAAATGGTCTTCTTTTTAGCTTACTTAACCCTAAGGCCCAGTGTGAGTTTTTGCCATCACTTGGTGTTCGTTGTACGTTTACTATTACAAAGATCCACTTCTCTGAAACTGTACTGGGTCATATTTAACCAAACAATCATTAAAATTCCAATGTCTGTCTGTTATCTTGAAAATCTTTGTAGTAAGAGAAAATTTGACTGAGGTAAAATGTTCAGAATGATGAGATCTACATAATGTCTATGACATTAAAACTGTCAGACGTCTTCTTATAGAAATTATTGCCTTTAAACGATTTCTTATTTCAGGTTTGCGTATTATCTCGAATATTGTAACTGATAGACAGAAATTTTAAACTGCAAAAATGATCAGTAAGACAAGATCTACAAATAAGTCATATGATCGAAATCGTCAGTCGACACCTTATTGACCTTTGAAGATTTTGCCCTTTAATGGCGTTTCTTCCGATTTTTTGCATTTTTGCCTTTTATCTTGAAAACTATAATAGATAGATAAAAAACTTAGCTAAAAAAATCAGCAAGACAAGGTTTAAATATAAGTATTCATAACCGAATCATTTGTCGACTCCTTATTGAAGTTATTGTCCTTTAAAGACGAATTTTCTTTTTTTTGTTTACATTTTTGCCTAGCATCTTAAAAAGTATAATAGAGAGATAGAAATTTTAAATAGCAAAGTTATGTCGTTTGCGCTGTAATATATAGCTTAACTTATCTAACATCCGGGGCTTTACGTACTGCTTTTTTTTTCTGTATAATATTATGAATGATAGCATAACACATGTATAAGACATATATTTAAATATATTGGTCCATATACTTCTCATATCTCAAGCTGTTTGTGTTTTTTTTTCAATATCAATGTAATTCATCAGGTTTTAAAAAGGTAGTACATTTGCCTTCCATAGCAAACACTTTGAGTAATGCATAATTGAAGAATTGAGTATTCAGAAAACCCTGTCACCAGTTTAATGCATTATAAAAAGTTAAATTTTCCCTATCGCCAAATTGTCATTAAGGCGTATACAAACTACAGCATTTTAATTATATATCTCATTTAACTGTGATACATGTATTGCCAAGTAGGGTTCATTGATTCTCGCGAGAAGTGCGCATTAACTGACTTCTAGATTACGTAACAAGACTGTGGTTTCATTTTACAATTCAGATTTATTTCTTCAATTCAAGTGAAAGTTTCGAGCAAATGATACCATGTAACCTTGGAAAATGTCGAGAAAAAGAAAAAAAATCAGAAGATAATTTGATGTTTTAAATTAACTTTAAATTTCAATCATGAATTAACCTTAAAGTTTCAAATTTAATTAAGCTCAATGTTGAATAGTAAAAAGAATTTGTTTACGAACAAAGTATATATTAGTTTCGATGAAGTACGACAAATTGACAATGTGAGTCATTTCAAAGCAAGTTAGTAATTAAGAATTTTCCACACAAAATCAGTTATGACAATATTTCTTTACGAATTCATTATAATTAGTGAATAAAAAAGCTTTAGATATAAGAATAAACTCATCATAGATACCAGCTTGAAATGTTGTACGCCATACGCGCGTTTCGTCTACAAAAGACTCATCAGTGACGCTCGAATCGAACAAGTTAAAAAGGCCAAAAAAAAGTATGAAGTTGTAGAGTATTGAGGACCCAAAATTCCTTAAAGTTTTGCCAAATACAGCTAAGGTAATCTATTCCTGGGGTAGAAAATCCATCTGTCCTTGGTTATTGTACATGTCGGTCTTCAATGGGACATCTGACCTTGGAAAAGAAGGTTGTAACTTGTATATTTCGGTCTAGCTTCTATGGGAATTTTTACTTTAGAAAGAGAAGTTGTAAGTTGTTCATGACAGCTTTCTAGGAGACATTTTAACTTGGAGAATACATTAAGATGATAGCTACCCAACGACAACAACACTAAATGTAGAGGTAAACATACTCCTAAGCCAACATAAGTCCACTAGACAGCATATTATTGGACTTGTCAGACAGTCCGGCACATTTCGGGAAGCCTAAATAAAGTGTCTATATATGATATATGACAAAATTCTTTATAACTGAGATTCTAGAATTAGTGTGAATAAATTTATCAGACTATCAAAGTTCTGCTATTAACAACAAATTTCAAAGGGACCAAACCAGAAAGAAACGACTAAAAATCAGTTAAAAATGACTAAAAAACCAGTAAGATATGACTAAAAACCAGTAAGAAGAGACTAAAAGCAAGTAAGAAGTGACAAAAAACCTGAAGAAACGACTACAAACCAGTAAGAAGTGACTAAAAACCAGTAAGAAACGACTAAAACCATTACGAAATGACCAAAAACAAGTATGAAAGGACTAAAAACCAGTAAAAAGTGACTAAAATCCAGTAAGAAATGACTGAAAACAACATTCTGACCAGGCTCTTGATATAGACCAGGAATATTGATGGAATTGAACTTAGTAAACCGGAATAATAGTATAAAAAGTAGTTTAACTAATAATACCGTGTCAACAACTGTTCCATTTACTGTAAGTATTTGACGTGTGATATACAAATCTATTGATTCGCCTTGGTTTGCATTATTTAACACTTTAAAAACCAAGTTAATTTCTTGAAAGAAATTTCAAGAATCTGTCCTTTTTCATTGGCATTTACATAACAAGTTTTGATTTCTTAATGTCAATAACGAAATGTTTTCCCCACTTTGGTAATTGCATAAATTACTTAAAGCACTAATCGAATGAGACCTGCAACATTCGAGACAGGTTTTTGAGTGAAACACAATGAAGCGTTAGGACGTTATGTGCGTTGAATTTAAATTGGATTATAATCTTTAAGTTGAAATCTGATTAATTTTTTTCTTCGAAAGGCTTTGATTCATAGCTAGCTGCACGAAGGCGCATTGTAAGGCACTATTGGATCAGATAAAGTTTTAGGGTTAAACAATTTCTGTAAGAATGTTTGAAAGTATTCAAAGTTAACATCTTAACATCAAATATAAAAAAAATCTCTCTTTTACATTTGACTGCAAAGGTCATATGTCAGTCATTGAACGGACACTTTTCATAGATACACAACAAGATGGATTTCAAATGAATTGTTCCAATGTGATTCTTATCTGATTCGTTGATACAAGAAACCCTTACCTGATTGACTGATATAAGATGCTCTTATGTGATTGGTTGATATGATTGTAAAAGTCAAACGACATATATAAAATGTATATTCAGGGCGATAACATTGTTATATGGTATGATATTGAACCGTTGTTTGTACTAGACAGACCAACTCACAAGCCAACAGTCAGCTGGAAGACATGTCTTCTTCAAATGCACATTTTTCTGACTCCGAACCATTAAATCTGCTTTTACACCTAAATGCATTATGGCTGAGACATTGCCATCCAAATTTAGTCTTTCCTTTGATCCTCACTGAGATCTAATCTTCGACTTCCTGTACGCAAAGCGAGTACGTTGTCACGTGACCACCATAGCCAATTGTTCCGATACGAAATTAATAAAATATTTTAAAGAAACAAAATACAATTCGTGAGTTGAAGAAAGACAGATATCCGCATAATCTAAAGAAGAAGAAAATAAACAGCTGTTCACAAAAAAAATCTGTTCACAAATCACTAACACTGCCATTCACCCAACAGAAACACGTGTGTTCACAAAACACAAAAACAGACATTAATAAAACACAAACATAACCGTTGACAAAAATTAAACACAACAGTTTACGAAAAACACAAACACAGTAGTTAACAAACACCAAACATATGTTAACAAACATCATACAGCTGTTAACAAACATGAAACAGCCGTTAAAAAAACAGCATTTGACAAACATCAAACAGCTGTTAACAAACATGAAACAGTCATTAACAAACATCAAGTTAACAAACATCAAACAGCCATTAACAAACATCAAACAGCCGTTAACAAACATCAAACAACTGTTAACAAACATCAAACAGCTGTTATCAAACACCAAACAGCTGTTAAAACACACCAAACAGCTGTTAAACAACATCAAACAGCCGTTAGCAAACATCAAACAGCTGTTAGCAAACACCAAACAGCTGTTAAAAAACATGAAACAGACGTTGACAAAAAACAAACAGCATTTGACAAATATCAAACAGCCGTTTAAAAACATCAAACAGGTGTTAAAAAATATCAAAAAGCTGTTAATAAACATCACACATCCGTTAGCAAAAAACAAACAGCCTTTACAAAAAATACAAAACATCGCTAACAATAAAAAAAAGCTGCCGTTAACAAAAACAAAATAGTTGTGCACAACAATAAACAAATAGCAGCGCACAAAGAATGCTGCTTTAGAAAAAAGCAAAGTGCCTTGCACTTAAAGAACACAAAAAATAAAATACAGAAAACATGTTGTTTTACATACATAACGTTTGATATTGCACATTACTTATTCTACGCGCGTTGTTATCTAAGATTGGCATTCCGTTTATGAGAACATAAAGAAACATTAAGAGTTTACATTTGAACGTTATTATTGCATCTTAGGTCTGCAATCAAGCCAATTACATAATGGCATTCTGATTTTGATTAGAAAAAGTATAAAGTAAATAACATGCATATATCACTAATACGTTGTATAGGGAAATGAAGCTTTTAATCTAAATCAGAAACTTTATATAATATTCTCGTAAAGGATTCACTTATTTTATTTTAATATAGTGAATGGAATTGAATTGCTAGTGTTTCAAGAATATTAAGATCGGTCTTCTTACTTACTTTCAACATTTGCTCAAAGCAATTGTTTGGGGAAATGTTTAATGTCATATATTTCAGGACATTATACGACCTTCAACAATAGGCAAAACCCATACCTTAAATCAGTTTTGAAAGGTATAACAAAACGTTAAACAATTCAAACGAGAAAACCAAATTTCTGATTTATGCTAAAAAATAAATGAAAGACTAATATGACAGATTTCAACCTAGCAACAACCAGTGATTGACATGTTTTTTTCTACTTGGAACTGGCACATAAATAATGTGGCGGGGTTAAACATGTTAGTTTGCGTTCAATCTACCCCTAAACTTGGACAGTGGCGTAACAGCACAACATAAACAAACTAATACAAATCAGTTGGAAATGACTAGTCATCAGATTGGCACGAAAAACAAACAATATTTTGTCATATATTTAAGTTGTGGTAATGAAAATGAAAGAAGGTTGTTAACTAAATTTAGAGTAAGCTCACATAACCTAAACATTGAAAAGGGAAAATATTGTAATTTGGATATTAGTGAAAGAAAATGTAAATTATGTAAAAATTCTGTTGAAGATGAAATCCATTTTTAATTCAATGCCCATGCTTAACAACAATACACAAACCATATTTCGATCAATTAGAAAAAGTTGATAAATTTTGAGTAAACTTTCAGATGAAAACAAATTAATTTGGCTGTTGAGCAACGATTTGATTTTTGATTTTTGGTGTTTTAACGCCACTTTTAAGCACCGCTTTTGGGCTATTTCGTGGCGGCCAGTTTTTATTGGTGGAGGAAGCCGGAGTACTCGGAGAAAACCACCGAGCTTCGATAGTAAACTTGACAATCCTAGTCAATTTAGATTGGAGTCGAGTGCACCCGCACGAGCGGGTTTCGAACTCACAACCTCAGTGTTGACTGGCTAGTGATTACAGTAGTAACTGCTTAGACCACTCGGCCACCGAGGCCCCTTGTTAAGCAACGAAGATATAGACATCATTTATATAATTAGTAAACTTTTAAAACAACTGTAAAAAAAAAAAGAGATGCACTATTATTGAAAAATTGACTTGAGAGCTGTCCCCCTTTATTATATTTCTATTATTGTATGAAATTTTAGTGTTCCAGGTGGAATCCAAATTGCTGGGTTTTATTCACCAGTTTTGCATATATTTTATGCAGTTCTTATCCTTAATAAATGTATATATGTTCAATGTTTTAATCAACTCAATCATTCAAATCATGTTAAGTATTGTATGTTATGTCTTGTAGTCATAATTAAACTGTAATTATTCTGCCCAAGTACGGGCACTGTGATTAGTCATTATAAGATTGTATTGTGTTGTATTGTATTGTTTTGTATTGTATTGTATTGTATTGTATTGTATTGTATTGTATTGTATTGTATTGTATTGTATTGTATTGTATTGTATTGTATTGTATTGTATTGTATTGTACACTTTGTCTTTTATATTGATAGGTTTTAAAAAGTTTTCCCGAGTGCCTACAATCAGATATATGTTTACATCTCAACAAAAATTTGCTGAACAACTGTCCAGCTTTTAAAGGTGCCAGTCCAGGTGAGTTTATAGTAATAAAATGCATATATATTTTTATAAGATTTCAAGTGTTGACACATCATTCCATTTAAGGTTGGATTGTATATATATAATAGTACAAATTTGTGGTGGCATACTGTCCCTAGTTAAGATTAAGATTTACTTTTTTTTGCCTGCAAAATTAAAAAGCAACTCTACGGAAAAAGAAGAATGAAATAGAACGGGAAATAAAGAATCACACATGAACCAGGATAGATCGCATTACAAGTAGACAAAGAAAAACAACAATAAAAGATCTTGTCTGGGTCAACATGTGCAATTCATTTCAGGTAGGCAACACTGGAAGCCTTTTCTTCCATGCCTTTGTCCATATCATAAAGTTGAATACGAGTCATGGCTTGGGGTTATAAAAAACATCTGAAACTTCATATTTCTCAACTATTTTTCACTTTGATGTTGAAACAAATGCATGCATTCGGTGTCATTGATTGTACTTTTTATGACGACAACTACAAACAACAGTTTTGTGATTTAACACAGAGACAGTGTGTGCCTCTTTTTCGCGGCAGTTTGGGATTGTTCAATGAACTAGGAATATATAATATAACTGGGTAGAAGGGGAAATATCCTGGGATAAAAGTATAAAACTGCCACATATAACATGTTCATTTTCTTTGAGTAAAATATTTATACTGCGTGGTTTCTAACGATATTTTAAATGTAATATTAAGGATTCCAGTGCTGTGTGAATAATTAGGTGAAACACAGCAATATTCTTAGACCAACTTTGCCCTCAGGCAAAGTTGGTCTTTGATGGATTTGGCTATTTTTTAGGTCCTTTTTATTCATAAAGCTCTTCAACTGTTTCGGTTTTATTCATCCTTGGCTTTCAAATATTCGACTTTGAGCGTTCCTGATGAAGGTAAATCCAGAAAAGCGCTTTGGACGCGTGGAAGTTATAGCACCTGTGATCACCCCCAGTTAAGGTGGGGTTCTTGTTGCTCCGTCTTTATTTTTCTATATTGTGATTTGTATACTGTTGTTTGTCTTTTGGTCGTTTTTCGTTTGTTGTCATGGCTTTGTAAGTTCCTCTTTAATTTATGAGTTTGGCTATACCTTTTGTATCTTTCGCTTCTTTCAAAGTATTTCTTCTCATAAGAAATGGTCTGAGAATTCAATCACTGGTACCACTTGTCACATTTGTTAAAATAGTCATCCATTTACAACAAAGAATTACAAAGAACTGTCTATATTTAGAACTATAACGGTTTATATAAGAAGCCATGAAAAATAAAATTAAGACGTAAATCAACGTTTAAATGGACAAACTGTCAGCTGTATAAATAAATATTTATTTAGTGTATCCATTTCCAATATAAAAAAAATATTTCATTAAAGAGGCAATTGCTTGCAACATTAACATTTTGTAACTGCAGCGTACACCATTATTGCTTTATACCAGACAAAATGTATTTTATACATTCAATCTTTAGGAGTTCCATGTATTTTTTACATTTATTCTTTAGGATTTCCATGACAGATGTATATTATGACCGATACAATCATCAATTGCTTTGATAGAGAGGAGTAAAGTTACAAATATATGAATAACAAAATGAGAAAATTGATTTTTACTTGACCTATTGTAATATTTTCTGGCAGTGAAAAGTCTTTATTATATCTTTGTCAAGCGACGTCTGATAAATATAGCTTCTCGTCTTACAGGGCTGAAAGGCTGTGATTACAGCTATTTGCTATTCCATTGTAAAGAAACATTCACCACCAGAAATATTCTAGTCGATAGTACTTTCACTATTCAAGAGATTTCTTAAAAACACTGTAGGAAATTGCCTTTATTACATACCTTAAAATAAATATGCCATTTCGTTTCTTTTAATATGCTCAAAAACAGTGTTAAATGAAATTCTGAATGTTCTTATATTCGACGTTTTAGTATATCATAAATTATGGGTAACATTTTCTACAGCGTACTTCAAAAATTGACAAACAACGTCCTGATCCGTCCTGAACGACGGAAATTTGGCCAATGACGTGAAATTATTTTGATTTTGGTGTACGAAAAATTGTATTACCCGTAGTCCTTCAGATTTTCTAAACAGTCGAATTATATCAAAGCTAAATCATTCTAATAACATAATAGTCATCCCAGTATGACAATATTTCATTAAGCAAGCAATTGCCATTATCAAGGAACATTTGTATTATTGATGTCGTCAGTGTACTGCTACACCGCTATTGTTCGATATTCGACAATATGCCAGGGATAGTGTAAGATACAGGGATAGTGTATTTAACAGATCATTTCTTTAAAACTTGTCAGATAAATATGTAAAACATGTTCAATGTAATCACAGATTGCTTTCATAAAGAAGATCAAAGTCACAATTTTATGATTACATAATTAGAAAATGGATTTTGTTAATAAATGTACTATTGTCAAATCTATTAGTTATAGGAAATCATATCAGTTTGACAACCATTGCCTTTCATCTGTAAGGATCAAAGAATTAATAACGGCAAATATTATGTATTATATGAATTTATCAGCCTTGAAAATTTATAAAGTTATGTAATGTTCTTTCATCTTGAGAAAAAAACGGTGATGTATCCGGACATACAACTCTGATGACGGAAATGAGTTAGAAATAACCCTGTTGGTTCGTTTCGGTCTATGCGCTTTATAAAGATTACATTGTCATGAATAATACATCATCTACGTGTTGCAGTAAATTTGAATCAGTATGAGTTACTTTTCTGAACATAACAATCAGTGATGACATAAGACGAAACTTTATTCAGGATTAGACCTGCTACGCATACAGATGTTTGCGATTTTGAACCTGAAATCTAACTTAGATTCCACCGAATAATTATATCTGAATTGGACATGCTATACAAACATTGAACAAAACATGAATGTGACAAGTTAATAAGGTACACCCTATTTAAAAATCAACATAAGATTAGAGAAACTTATATTATATTACCCGGATGTTCTGATAAGTTCAATAACTCGTATTTAACAGTTGTCAGCTAATTACTGGTCTGGATGGGAGTCCTCATTTCGTTACTCTTGAATTATCTAGGCCATTGTACTCTATTTTGTTTTGCCAATTATTCTCTATTCTTTATACATTAGCACCCAATTATTTCTCTACTCTTATGGTTTAGCACCTCACTATCCTCATTATTCTCTTTTCATTATTGTTTAACCAATTTTTCGGTAGTTCGATCCAATATTTCCTTTTCCTTTAACCCCCTCCAGACCCTCATTAATATAAACTTGTTTTTCGAAATTAAATAAATTTACTGACATCAAACGGATCATATCGATTTTAGAGTGCACAACACATGTTTTTGAAAGAAACATTATCATATACCCTCGAGAGCAAAATGTGTTTTCTTTCGATTTAAAAAAAAACAAAAAACAAGCCATACACAGAGCATTTAAAATATTTCCTGAGGGAGTTATATCTATAGTTCATGTAAAATATATACTTGATGAACTGAAGATTTGTTATTCCAATGGGCAATTTACATCATGCCAGTACTAAAGCACTGTTTGAGGGTCCAAAATAATATATTTTCTTTTCATAGATCTTAAAATCTAACATATCAAATCATAAATACACATGTACTTAAGTTTAACTCTTTGTCAGAACGCTAAGTGGAACGAGCACGTAGAAAATATTGCTAAATCGTATAATTTAACATTTAGGAGTTTTAAGAAAATTGAAATTAAAGTCGGCCAGACAGAAATTAGAAAGATTATTGTATAGTTTGCTGTGCGGTATAGGTTTTGCTTATTGTTGAAGCCGCATGGAGACCTATTGTTGCTTACTTCTACATCAGTTGGTCTCTGGTGGACGTTGTCTCATAAGCAATCATACCACATCTTTTTATTTTCATATGATGGTGAAGTGTGGTAAAACTGTGGTATTTGTCATTTAGAAAATCCAAGTCAAAGTTTATAAAAGTAAACCATTTTAGGTCAAAGTACGGTCTTCAACACGGAGCCTTGGCTCAAACCGATCAGCAAGCTATAAAGGGCCCCAAAATTTACTAGTGTAAAACTATTCAAACGGGAAAACCAACGGTCTAATCTAAATAAAAAACGAGAAACGAGAAACACTTATGAACAACATCAACAAACGACAACTATCGCTATTTATCCCAATCCGGATAAGTTCTGAAATTACACAACTTTTTCATCCAGTTGAGGCTATCTGGGCTCTGTTTAAACAATGTATTATGCATAGAACTTTTCAAAGAGACAAGTTTAAACCATCGTAAACACTTCAAACAAAGCATTTTTATGATTTTAATTTGTGTTTTATATAAGTGGATCATAATCTATCAAAGTTTCAAACTGTTTACTTTCTACGCTTTTTCCTCCCTCAGCTCGTTACTTATGACCTTTGTTTTTGCGACACTTGACCCAAACAGGAAGTTGTCTAAGTGACTGTTTTTGCCGGATTGGATTAAATAGCGATAAGGTGTATTGAAAAGGTCACAATAGTTATTGCTAGCTCCATAAAATAATTTGATAAGAAATAAAGGAATGGCGAAAATATTATGTATACAACTTTCTGATTTTCCTTAAATACATAAAAAAAGGATGAACAATAAGATAAATGAATTTTTCAAACAAAACAGTAAATTTATTTTTAACTTTTACATGTCTTGTGTAGTAAGGCTAATTTCTATTACTAGTCATTGCATGGACGCTCAAGAAAAGAAAAACTGAGATTTAAAACGAAAATGATATCATCGTGAAACCGAAAAGATTCCCCAATTTTCGTCCATCAGTTGATGCTGTTACTAGAAAACCAATAGAGGTTTCTTCAGCCTAATGTACATCATTATCCACTATATATTTGATTTGTTTTGGCTGAAAAGATATTGTCTGAAAACGAAAACATTTTTCTTAAAAATCAGTCGATTTAACATGACCTTTAGGGATCTTATCAATTTGTACAACAATTCGGGTTCTAGGTACT